AAAAAAAAAAAAAGAATTGAAAACAGGGACTTGAAAAGATGATGTGTGCCAGTGTTCGTTGTAGCATTATTCACAATGGCTAAAAGGTGGACACAACCCAAATGTCCACAGATGAATGGATAAACAAAATGTGGTCTATCCGTACAATGGCATATTATTCAGCCATAAAAAGGAGTGAAATTCTGATATATGCTATACCATGGATGAACCTTGAAAACATGCTAAGTGGAATCAGCCAGACACAAAAAGACAAATATTGTATGATTCCATTGATCTGAAATGTCTAGATTTGGCAAATTCATAGACAGCAAGTAGAATGGAGGTTCCTGGGGGGTTGGGGAGAGAAGGGAATGAGGAGTGACGGCTACTGAGTTTCTGTTTGGGATGATGAAAGGGTTTAGGAAATGCGTAGTGCTGATTTTTGCACAACAGGGCAAATGTAATTAATGCCCTTAAATTGTACACTTAAAAATGGCAAACTTTATGTTATGTAAATATTTACCACAATTAAAAACAAAAAAAATGGGTATGTCAAAAAGAAGAGCTGACGGATGAGATGCGTTCTCTGATTTCTCTGCACCTGGCTGTGGTCATCTTGCAGCTGGACTAAAGATGAAGCCACCATGAAGGCAGTGACAGATGGAAAGATGGAGGTCCTTGATGATGTCATTAAGCTACTGAACCAAAGGATTATGAAGGCAGTCCTCTCTTGGAATTTAAAGTCATGTGAGATAATAAATTTCCGAATTTGCAGAAATTGCAACTCAAACAGCCCTCAAAGCCCATCAGAAGAAAGAACAGCCATAAAGAGCACAAGAAGATTCTTTGGAGGACCATTGCCATCTTCAGGGAGGCAGAAGAAGCCACCGGATGGAGAGAACAGTAAACAAAATCAAGACCCACAAAGAAAAGTGAGGACGTGGGACCTGGGATTGGATGTTACCAGGGAAACCTCCTAAAAGGTGAACCAAAGCAGTTTTAAAGAAATGAGTTGATGCTGCTGGGTTAAATACTTCTTTGAAAATTGTTGAAAAAAGAAAAAAGAAACCGAACGTACACAAAATTAACAGAGGAAGATAAAGTAATGGATTACTGCAAGATCATATTTCAAACCTCCAGTTAGAAAGGGGGAGGCAGAAACTGTTCTGGCAGAAACTTCAAGTTCTTTCTGAACTCACTGAGAAAAAGAAATGAATTTTCATTCTTAGCCAACCTTCCCAGAGCAACTTTGGGGGAAGTCACAAATTGCACAAGTGATTTTGGTAACTGTGGAGAATGTCCAAAGGGAGCCCTAGGACACCATGGGGTCAGGGAGGGCGGAGGCCTTCCGTCTCAGAACTGAAGGATGAAATGGGGGCTGATGCAATAAAGCAACCTCCCCGCCTGGCACGCCATGGGGCATTACAGGACCTGGGCCCCCAGGGGGACTGGAGAGACTCTTGCTCTTGGAGTCTGTAGGAGGCCACCCAGGAAGTGCTGCAGCTCAGCGTCCACCTCAGGAACTGACCTGTTTCCTGGGCTGGAATGGGGAGGGCTGAGCAGCCTGTGGCCCATGGTGAACTTCCCCGAGTGACAGGAAATCAGTCTAGCCCCTGAGTCACAGGAGTGAGCTTACTGACATCAAGCGACTTCCTGTCTGGGCTTGTTTGTTGGGGTAGGTGTGGCCTCTCCTTCCTCTTCAAGGTCCCCAGTGGCCATCACCTTCCCACGATCTTCCTGGGCCTTGAACCTGAGCTCAACCACACATCAAAACACAACAGGGTGGCCCCTGAGCCAGTGGAGGTGCAATGGTTCCCTTAGGGGAACACAGGGGGAGGTAAGGACTGCTGGTCCTCACACCGTTGCACTGAGGCTGCCATGTCACCCACTCTGCTAATCCTGGCCTCTCGGTGCTGCTGGGATGAGAGCACCACTGAGAAACAAAGGCACCTCCAAGGGTGATGACTTGTGTCCGCTCTAAAGAGGGAGAAGGGCAGGTAGGGAGGTGTGGAGGTGGCATGCAGCCAGAACTCACCGCTGGGGGCAGCTGGAGGAGCCTTGGGCTACCCTGGGCCTGGAGAGCCCAGGAGGCCTCAGCCATGGCTAACGGGGCCAGGGCATTCAGGAGGAGTGGGCTGGCACTGTCCATGCCTGGCTCCCAGGCCTCCACCCGACTTACACTGTGGCCAGAGGTCCAGTCCAGGCCTTGGCCCCAACTGGAACCCCCTCTGGCTGAAAGGGTCCCACCAGCCGAGGCCTCGCGGTCCAGGGAGATGGAAGGTCCAAGACATGCTGAGAGAGCTCTGGGCTTTGTTCTGCCACTGGGGCCTGGAACCACATTTTCAGTTTCTGGCTGGCCGCTCAGGGGTCAAAGCAGTAAGCCCTGTGCTCTAGAACCATGCCCACTGTGGCCCCATGCCACCCTCCGACCCCAGGGTTAAACACACGGGGAGGTCCCTGGTTGTGCCTGGCATGTACGTGTCGGTGGCTCTGGCTGGCCTTTGCCCATCTGCTCCTGTGACAGCCTTGGAACCTTTGCCTTCCCGTTGCCACTCCCAGTGGCTGCCCTGCCCTGGCTGCTGAGCACAACTTCTCTGCTGAAGGGCTCTGGCTGCTGCTCACCACCCTTGCTTCCTCCAACCTCCCTTCTCTCAGTTCCAGCTTCTCACTTCATATCCCCTTTGGATAGTCCAGGAGATGGCTCAGGAGCTGGCACAGATACACCCATTCACCTAGCCATTTATTCTTAAACTGAACCAGGGACAGCAGCAGTGGCCCAGCCCTTGAGGAGATCCTTGCCCTGGAAAGTTGCAGATGCAGAAACAGATTGGGTTACTGTAGCAGGGTAAATGCTATGAGAGGGGAAAGCCAGAGATGCCTCATTTAGTGTGTGTGTGTGTGTGTGTGTGTGTGTGTGTGTGTGTGTGCGTGTGTGTGTGAAGGGGGGTGGTGGTCCAGGAAAGCTTCCTGGAGGAGGTGGTACTGAGGCTAAGGGACCCCAAGTAGCCAAGGAAGTCTTCCTTAAGACTTGAATGAAGAGCCAGACTTTTGCCATCATCTGCAGACCTTCAGTAAGACCCAACACAGACAGTGCACTGAGGGGAGACCTGCAGGTTTGGCCTGGGCCTTTAGGACATGGCCAGACTCTGGAAGCTGCCAGCATTAGCAGAAGAGTGAGGTTGACGCTAATCTCCTGGAGGAGGAGCTCCGAGGGTGCCTCCTCCATCTGCCTGGCCCACTGATGATGCGGCACGTGGGGTATAGACATTAACAAAGGCATGCCCAGCTGAAACTCAGCCCTGGGGGAGGAGAGTATGGGAAAGCCTGTGAGGTTCATGGTCCAGGCCACAGCCAGCCACGTGGGGGTTCCTGCAAGCAAGTGCAGGGGTGCTGTGCCCAGGGGATGGGGATAGGAATACTGGACTGCCAGAGCAACTGCCTGCTGGAGGGGACACCCCTGGGCTGGTGGGAGTGCTGGTGGGAAACTCACTGAACTTCCCAGCCACCCTCAGGGCTCCGTGTGTCTCAGGCCATCACTGCTCACTGTGGTGACTACCTTAGTGATCTGACAAAGGTGACCCCTGCTCACAAATTCCTAGCTGGGCAGGTCATACTGGGTAGTCACCTCCCAGGCATGTAGCTTCTTTAGCAAAGGTGAATCTTTACCTTAAATGAGTCTGTCCATTGTACTTATGCATCTAGGATTAAACACCTTTGAAATGTCAGAGTAATTTTCTTTTCTAGACCCCTTGAAGGCACAAGCACCAGCACCAGCACCCAGCACAAGGCCACAGAACCCATCATTGTTATCTTGTTCTCCGAATACCATCTCTATGTGCTGTAAATGTTAATTATTAACTATCCTTTACCTACCAATGTAAAAGAAGTAGGCCTCCTTTATGCTTTTTCTGCAATCCTAGAGACTTCCTCATTTTGCTTTCTCCCACTTCCTTCATCTATCACCAGAGGATTTCATGTACCTTCCTTATGTTTTCTCCTTTGATAATAAATGCATTAAAGGAACTGCAAAACTGCCATTCTCCAGAGCATTTTCTCAATCTGTTGAGATTTTGCTTTCAGGAATGTTCTCAAAATTTTGGCTCAGATAAACTCTTATAAAACTTTTCTATAGGCTGGACGTTCTTTCGTCAACATCCCCAAGGCTAAGGAAGATCAGTGACCTGTCCTGGGTCACCCGGCTTCCAGGGTGGATTCAAATTCCAGTCTCCTGCCCCTGAGCAGAGCTCTTTTTTTCCAAGACCTTTGTGTTTGGCTCTGGGATGGTGGAGATGAGTTCTGATAGCCACGCCTGTGTGACTTCCAAAGGCCAACATGAATGGAGGGACACAAGTCAGTCTGCACCAGACTGGATTCTTTCTGACACTCAGCACTNCATGGCAGTGGGGGTGACACCGGTGGCATTTACTACTTAGGTGGCAGTGCCATGTGGCTGCAGCATCCTCACCAATGGCCCCTGAGGTACGCCTTTGCCTGGGTTTCTGGCTACACCTTCTCTTGATCCCAGTGTGCTTGCTGAGCTGGATCGCAGCCTTCCTGTCAGGCTGTGAGCCACCTGTATCTTCCCGAGTTTCTTTTACTGAGTTGGACATGGGGACTTTCTCACGTGTGCTATCCAGACCCCTGGGGAGGGCTGGCTGAGAAGAACGGCCTCCTCCCGCATCTAGTGTGCTGCTCAGGCCTCTCTAGGCTGCTGCTTGTTTTCCAGCACCTCCTGCCCAGCTGGTTTCCCCATGCCCAGGCGTGACCTTTCCAAGGCAGCCTGCAGAGCCCCCCAGAGCAGCCCTCAGTGTAGTCCTGTCATGAAACTGTCCTGTGTGGAGCCTCCAGGGTCCTTCCAGTCTACAGAAAGGTCTGAATACAGGGTTTTCCTCATCTCACCTTAAATCCCCCGCCCCCGCCCCAGATTCCCTTCTAATTATTACAATATTAAACAATTAACTTCCAAAAATTACAGAATGTTTGTAAAACAGAGGGGAAAAATATTATTCCTTTCCCATCTTTAAAACTATCTTGTAGAACAAATAAAAGAAAAAAAAGACCCCTCCCCCAAAAAAACTATCTACCGGTGTCTTGCAACATCTGTGCAGACTGTGTCAGTTCCCTGGGTGTGGCCTGGCCCACTCCACTGAGGTTGGGTTTGATCTCATGCTTTGTCCAACGGAATGACTACACTTAACACACAGCACATGTGAGCAAGGGCCGTATTTGTGCTTGCAGGGTTTGGCGTGGCCTCTTGTGCTTCTGCCATGAGAAAGAACACGTCCCAGGGAACGCTACTCCTTCATCTGGGACTCAGAATAGAATAAGGGATGCCTGTGGAGACCTGGATCAGACCCACAGCCTGGAGTTTAACTGCTGCAGCCAACTATGTACACCCGAGAATGAAGAGTTTGTAATCATGGGCCATTGAGATTTTTGAGGTTATTCTGCAGTAAAATCTAATATATCATCATACAGGAGAAACTACAGTTACAGAATTTGACACATGCTAAATACTATGAAGTCAGAGGTGCGTGGCAATTGGGTAAACCTGCAGGCACAGCTGAGACTGTATTTTTAGACTAAACTACTTTCTACAACCTGCCACTCCACCTGTTCCTACTTAAGTGGTCTTGAGGCAGGAAAGAGGTCTGACTGCAGATGACCTACCTGGGTGAGAAAGCTTGTAATCACATTCAGACACTGGCTCTCCAATAGTAGGCCACCTTAGGGTAGAGGAGGTAAGGCAGGTCAGGTGACTATGGAAGGGGTCCATATGATTAGGAGCTTGTTCTAGGTACCAACAAGCCTCTAGCCTAACCCTGTAGCCAGGAGGAACTGGTGATCCCACTGCTGCCAACGCTGCCCTTCAATTCCTCCAGCAACCTGCTCCTCCGCTCCTAAACCTTACTGAAGAGTAAGTCCATGTCTTTGAGATATTACTGGAGGGGAGATCAGGGGACACTGGACTCCTGAAAAGAAAGATGGGCCTGAAGTTCCAAGTGAAGGTCACCATGAGGCCAGTAGCATCCTTCCACTCATCTTGCATACCTTGCTCTCGGCTTGTTCCCTCCTACAGATAGGCTGATGTGATAAGCCCTACCTTGTCACTTTTAATAGTATGTTTTGTGCACGTGGGCAGGAGCCACATTTGAATTGCTCTCCGATGGATCTGCACTTCCTAGCACCATGTCTGGCTTTAAATATTTGAGAAAATGAATGAATCCTTCCTTACGAAATGTTACATCCACTGCTGTTCAGGCCTGCTTCCCACTCTGATGGCTGGTGTAAACGGACAGCACGTGCATGTGAGCATGTGGCCTTGGCTCCATCCCAGCTGACTATAGTGAGCTGCACCATCCTCAGGCTTTCAGGTACTCAGGTGCCCGAAGCTTGGCTTTTGTTGCTAGCATGCTCCCTCACCAGGTAATTTATTTCCTTCATTCATATGGAGCCCAATTTAGATCATTTTTACTAAATTGCTAATAAAAATGAACTCCCTCGTCTTTTTCCCAGTAATAATATCAATACTCTTTTTTATTTTAACCTCCTTTTGAAAGTATTTATTTGTTCTCAGTCAGAATATTATGCTCCCAGGATCTGATTTTTGCCCTTCTGATTCCCTGGTGTACCACCAGTACCTAAAGAAACACTGTATTTATTTTTAACAAAAACAAAAGCCTGAACTATTATTTCCCTGTTGCTGACAGATCAAAAAATTTGGACCTTAAAATAATATCTGGCCCTGTTGGCTATCTTTGGTTAAGGCCACTCTCTCCAGCTTCCCAATGACATATTAATACTTGATATTATAGCCAACTAATACTCTTAAGATTTTTAGAAATGGACAAACCACTTGTTGCTTAGTTCGGTTGTTCCTGAAGAGATGTTACTACCTGTGTGGAAAAATTCACGGTGATAATTGTCACTTTATGGCTTGGTACCACACTAGAGCATGTCACCTGTTCCCAAAGGATGGTGGCTCCTTCTAAAAAAGACCTTAAAATTGTGCAGACCAAGTCATCTAACACCTGAATATTAAGATTATTGGGATTTTCAGTCCCTATATTCATGCCTACTACTTCCGAGAGACCCTACACTGGGTACATATTAAAGTTTTAAGCAATCTTTAAGGACATCTGCAATAGACATATATTTTCACATATAAACTTAAAAAAATACTTTAACAATACATTGTACTGCATAGAACTAGAAATCAACATATTACATTGCTAAAATATTCATATAAATATCATATATGCATGAATTCACTGCATTAGAAAAATTCACCTATTAGGCTATCAAAGACCAGTTATCAGTAAAGCCCAAAGAAAACCTATTTTAACAGCAGGAACGCTAAAAATAACAACTATGAGGTTTATAAACTAATGGTAGGAGAGAGAATTCTTTACATTTGCTATTATGTCACAACAGGCACAATCTGATATACAATTTTAGGCTAGCACTGTATAAAAATACTTTTTAAAAAAACAATACTTTTGATAGGTGTAGTACCACTTAAAAAACACTCCAACTGTGTAGTTATTTCACTTGAGGATCTAGCAAAACAATTCAACTTACTGCTCCCAGCTAGCTCTTTAAACAGCAACCTGGAAAGCAAGTTCTCTCACACATCACCCCGCCCCCCGCCCCCATAACCATATATTCAAATAACCGCCTACATCTATGGATCGCATACTGATGAGTCACTGATAGGCATCAATCTCCAACAAGGTGTGAGATGGCTGTGTTTGGAGCCTGTTTTCCGTTCCAGGTTTGGGATGGATGAAAAAAGAGGCAAATGCAAGGTAGATTTTGGGTGTGTGTGTATGCTTTCTATTCCATATATGGGCACTACCGAGAAGACAAGTTTAATCTGGCATATCAATATTTAACTTGGGAGGTGGGGGTACATACTTTCCAGGGCTCTGGGTTATAACTACCCTGGCCTTCTTTCCAAACATTGGAGCAATTTTTGGAGCATCTGGAACAGCTGTTTCTTCAGCATCTTCACTATCTTCATGATGTAGGTCATATGAAATGTTCCCATATTCTCTTAAAAATGGGAAAATTTCAAGCAGGAACTGACAGAAATCTCTGCGGATACCAAACCACCAATGGTTGCCCCCTTTTCGCCTAAATGTTGTGGCCATTAAAGTTATTAATGAAAGCCAAAGGGGGACAAATATGGAAATGTAAGAGAATGTATTGTGGCCATCCAATCTGTGAACTAGCAGAATCTCAAAAGTGAGTAGGGGCACGACAATCGTTATCCAGCTGATGGCCATGGTCACGTGTGTTCGGCGCTGTTCGGCAACCACATCCAGAGACCGCAGGAACAGGAGAGACCAGACAATGTAATAGAGGACGACCAGGCAGAGGAACGACATGAGGATCCAGAGGGGCACGAACACCACCAGCCACGGCCAGTGAATAATCCTGTCCAGCCTTAGGGCGATGAAGATGAACTGCAGGATGTTGACAGAGCACAGGATCTCCAGTTCGAGCGACCTGTCGTGTCGAAAGCCCCACACGCAGGCAGCCACGGACACAGGCGATACGAAGAAGAGTGGCATGAAGACCAGCAGCCAGAAGTGGGTCCCTCTCTCCACCCTGTCGCAGACCAGGACTTCGAACATGAGCAGCAGCAGGTGGATGCCCACAGCGATCAACATGGCTTTGAACTCGACGCAGGACTCTCCCTCCGTGCGGTAGCGAGGGTTGCGGGCCCAAACGCCCGCACCCACCGAGGCACCTGCGATGACAAGAAGCTTCCACAGCCATATGGGGGCGAAGACGGCCCAGTAGCTCCACTGGATGATGCCGTCCAGGCGGAGGGGCAGCAGAACCGAGAAGAGCAGCAGGCAGGCGTAGATGAGGAACTTACTCGGGTTGAAGTCCTGGAACAAGCCCCTGGGGTTCATGGCGAAGCCTCTGCTCGCCCACCCTGGCCTGCTGCTCAGCTCTGCTGGGCGCCCGCAGCCTCCCGCACCCGGCCTGGGTCGGCTCTAGGTGGGCAGTGGCCCCGGGTGGCCAGGCCTAGGTTGCGACTCGCCGCGAGAGGCCCGAGCACGTGCGCGCGCGGTCACGTGGACCGGCCGGAAACGCGGTGGGGCGTGGTGTGCGGGCCCGCGCTCTCCCAGCTGCCCCCGCCGGGTCCCGGGCCCCGGGTGGGGGGCGGTGTAGAGCAGCGGGGCGCTGCTTTGGCCCCGCAGCCGCCCGCTTTTACTCCGTACCCATTTGGAAAGCAGTTACTGCGTGTGGCGCCGGGACGGACCAGGGCGGGGGGCTCCGGCTCGGGGCCTGCTGACTCCACAGTCGGCCCGTTGGCAGCGAGCGGCCCGCGACCTCGGGCGAACGCTTCCTGGAGGTGTCGGGAGCAGGGAAGCGGGAGTGAGCTCACATCCTCCCGGCTGGCCCAGGGGCGGGGCCCAGGCGGGCCGGAAGCCGGTGGGGGCGCGGCCCGCTGCGGGTGCCCTACCCTCGCTCGCAACCGACCCAGGGTCTGGGGCGCCCGCGGTGAGGCTCCAGCGCCGGGAGGAGGGAGGAGGGAAAGGCGCGGGCACGCGCGAAGGCTGTGGCTGTACGAGTGTGGGAGTTTGTGAGCGAGCGAGTGGGTGCCGGTAACAGTGCACAGGGCAGGCGTGCCTGTGTGAAAGCGCGCGCGCGCGCGTGCGTGTGTGTGCGTGCGCGTGCGCGCCCGCCCAGTGAGGCGGTGGGTTTGTCCTTGTGCATTAGGTGTGTGGAGTCGTAGGGTGCACGCGGTAGGTTGGCGGGTTTTGCCTGGAACAAATGGCTTCCAGGGCTGGACTCCCCCCGGTGGGACAGCAGACAGTTCCCAGGCTGCCTGTGAAATGGCTGAGGCAGAGCACCTAGGAGGCCACGGTGTTTATAGCTACCCCTTTCACCCCAGACGTGGACAGGGGGTGCCGGGGAAGGTGTTTGACCCCGCAGGGCCCCTAAGGAAAGTCCGGGGGAAACTGGACGCAAACAGCAGATGCTTCCTGCCCCCGGTCACCCAGCAGGTTAGGACTCATATTCAGGGCTCCCGACTTTAAGTCCCTAATCCTCATTTTGACTTATTTGGCCCTGCCCCAGTCAGATGCTCACAGAACAATGTTGGGAAACGGGCACTGGACCAGAGGTCAAGAAATTTGGGTACTAGTCCAGGTCCTTCCACATAAGCAGCAGAAAAACGTGGGCAAATTCACCCCCTTCTGTTGTGGCCTCAGTTTCCTGGGCTGTTAAGTTGGGGCCTGGCCTGAGTGGTCTCCAAGGGCCAGCAGGGCTGCAGCAGTTCTGTGATGGCCAGCAGGGCACCCCTGTCTGGCCAGCAGGGCAGACCCTGGAGGACTCCTCCACTCTTTCCATGCTCAGTGGAGCCCTGGTTGCTCGTCCTTCCTGCCTTTTGTGCCCCACCCGTCCCATGCAGTCCGGTGCCCTGCAGTGGGTATGGAATGCCGACAGTAGTGAGCACTGAGGGGGAGGCCATCAGAGGAATGGTGTCTGGTGTCAGTCTCCATAAGATAACAAACAAGGAAGGGCTTCCCGAGAGAGAAGGGGGGGCCTGTTTCCAGACCCAGGAGCTGGCCTTCCCCAGCCAGCATCAACAGGAAGTTCAGAAATCATGGTGTGGGGTGGACAGCCCCCGCCCTAATAGATCTCCCTGCAACTTCACTGGCTTCCAACTCAGCTGGAGGCAGTTGAGTAGTCCTGGGGAAAGGACTCCCTGCTGAGTGAGGGTTCAGATCTCATAGATGTGTGTTTCTGAAGAACCCCTTGGGGGCCATTGTGAGAAGAATGTTAGCCAAGTATGGCTCTAGCCCTCCTTCCTTAACCCCTTTCTCCCAGCCAGAGTTGCTCTAGTTAGGTTTTTCTTTTACTGTTTCCTTTCAAGAAGGGATTTGTCAGCGAAAAAAATGGTTAAAATTCAAAATTCCTGTACCAGTCCAACTATGAAAAGGGCTAATAAAAGCACACAGGATTGTTTTGAGGATTAGATAATTAATACACGGAAAGCACTTTGTATTTAAAGAAATGGGAGCTATTACTATGACCGCATTGGGAGAGTAAAGCCTGGGGAGGAGAGGGCAGCTCTTCAGGGAGGCAGTGGCAAAGCCAGGTCCTCTGGACCCTGTTGGAACAGTCAGATCCTCCCCAGTCTCCTTCCTGTAGCCACATGACCGCGGGGCCTCTGCTGCCTGCTCTGTGGCAAACAGGAGTTTGGAGTGTGTTTCTCATCTATAGAGCTCCTCACTTAAGACAAGTGCTTGGTTCTCTTCCTCCAGGAAGGGGGACTTAAGGTGACCTGGCATGATGCAGTGTGCTCTTGCTGCCCCACTGCAGAGGGAGGTTAGAGCCTGCTTCCGGGTTTGTGCCAAGGCCACGGGTGGAGAGGGCTGCTGTCTGCCGTCCCTCTGCTGGCTTTCCTCGGTTCACAGACCTGGACCCAGTTCTGTACACTGGACACCCTCCTTTGCTGTTTTCCCTGGTGTGGTCAGTTTCTTAGGGACCTGCCTTTGTCTTTACAATTACCTTTAAAGCTCATATGGATTGTTTGCTAATAGCCAGGTGCTGACTACACAGCTGCCCTGTGAGGCTGGTACACAAATTACAGTGTCAGTTCACTGATTTACAGAGGGGATGTGGGGACTCCAGTCCACCGGCACAGGCCTGCCTGTCCCCAGAGTCGGGGTGCGTGGGCTTCTTAGATGTGTCCCCACTGCCTACCATCCTCAGTTCCAACTCCCTTTTCTGACCTGAGAGGCCCTCCTGAGCTGGCCCTCACACACCTGCTGGCCAAGTCCCTTTCCTGTGGTCTCCTGTCAATCTGCCAACCTCCTCCTGAATGTGCCAGATGTAGTCTCCACATTCATGGCCCTGCTGTTTTCTACTCAGAGGTGGCCCACCCCCACCTAGCCCCTGTCCTTCCTGGACCATCAAGACCCATGACAGGGTCTTAGGCCCTGGGAAACCTGCTCAACCCCTGGTGGACTGATGACCCCGGTCTGACCTCCCACAGCATCAGGGCTTTTTTCCTGTCACAGACTCATTTCACTGAGTTGAGTCTGTTTGGCCATCTTTCTCTCCTTGAGATTTGAGTTCTAGACCACCAGCCAGTGCTTATAACAAGTGCTTGAGAAATGTTGCTGGAGGGAATGTATGAATTAATTTGACCCTACTTATGACTGCAGTGCTCCTGTCCCAGGTCCAGTGGTTCCCTTCCTCCCTCCCTTCTCTGACTAGTGTGGAACCAACGGCTGAACTCAGTCTTCTCACCTCCACCATCCCAAGTCCTGTGCCATCCACTCCCTGGCCAGGGTGATCTGTCTACACATAGCCCGTGTATTAACTATTAGATTCCAATTGCTGCTGTAACAAACTGCCACAAATTTAGCAGCTTAAAACAATGCCCACTTATTATCTCACAGTTTGTGTAAGTCAGTTGGCACAGGATGGCTCAGCTGGTTCTCTGCTTGAGACCCCCAAAGCCAGCATCACGGTGTCCACAGCATTGCATCTCCTTCTGGAGGCTCCTGTGGTGAGTCCGCTTCCAGGTTCATTTAGTTTCTTGGCAGAATTCAGTTGCGTGGAGTTGTAGGGATGAGGTTCCCATTTCCTTGCTAGCTGTCATCTGAGGGTCATTCTCAGCCATCTGAATTTCCTGGCTTCTGGCCCCCTTCAAACTCACCAATGGTGGGTGGATTCCTTCTCACGCTTTTAAAGCTCTCCAACTGACCCTTCTGTGCATCTCATCTGCTTTTTCTGTTTTTAAGAGCTCATGTGATTACATCAGGCCCCGCCAGATAATCCAGGATAATCTCTATTTTAAGATCAGCCTGTTAGTAACTTGAATTCTGTCTACAAGTCTCCTCACAGTAGTACCTGGATTAGTGTTTGACTGGACAACCAGGGGACGGGTGGGGATGCTGAGGCATCTTCAGCATTCTGCTCAGTACCAGGTGTCAGGCCCAGCACGGCTATTCCTACTCTGAGCGAGGAGACAGCCGGCTCCAGGAGGGGCTACTGCACTGAGAGAGCCCGGCTTTCCAGAGGGAGCTTTTGCCTGAGTGCTCTCCATACACAGACCAGGGTGACAGCACTGGTTTCCCAGGTTGCCCTTGCTGACCCCTGGGCGTTCATCCGGTCAGCAGGCCAGTGGAACCTGGGTGGGAGTCAAGATTTGGCCACAGTCCCCCGGTCCCAGGAGATAGGACCCCTTGCTGAATGTCCTTTGGCTGGCTTGGGCAGGGGGTGACCTGTACAGAAAGCCTAGGGACATCTTCTCTTGCAGACCTAGTTGTGGATTTCTTTTCCATTAGCCCACCTGGCCCTTCGTGTCAGTCTCAGCACCCATAGTCACCCCTTGGCCCCTAGTCCCTAAATGCAGCAGGCTCTCCCCTCTGCTTAGAGTAGCCTCCTCCCTGCTCTCCCTGCCTCCCCCACCACCAACATACCTCTCTACACTCTCCTCAGCATCGCAGTGGGCCCAGGGGCACAGACTCTGAGATCCCCAGTCCAAGGTGCAAGTGTGGGCGCTGCCGTCTCCAAGTTCTGTGACCTTGGCAAGTAACGGAGCCTCTGGCCCCATCTGTGAGATAGAGATAACCTCACAGAATTGTGAGGGTAAAGGAAACAATGTATGAAAACCCAGAATATGCACAATTATCCCGTCCTGTTGGTGGCTGTTGTTACTGTCTTTGCAGTACCTTCCTTCCGGAAGCCTGTCTTCCCGCAGGGTGTTGTGATCCTCTGCTCCTCTGGCTGTCCCAGGAACGTGGTGACTCTCCCAAGGGCAGGGCCCCATCTTGCATCTCTGTATCCGCAGTTTCTAGCACAGGCTCCTACGTAGTAAATGTATCTGGGAAAGCAGAGGCAGGCAGGAAGGTTGAAGCTGACGTGGCATCTTTTTCCTGTGCTGAGCAGCAGAACAAGTCAGCTTGGGTAGACAGAGCAGTTTGTCTAAAGCCAGTAGGTCTCGAGTTTGCAGGGGGGTGTCACTGGGTTTGAACGGGGACCTCCTGGAGAGTGCCAGCCCCTCATGCGCACTGAGCTCAATATTGCAAAGTACTGTGTCATCTGAAGCTAACTGAGAGGCTGTGGTGACAAAGGCACTCACCTCATTTCACAGATGGGGAAAATACATGGAATGAGGCCCAACACCATGACCATGGCATTCTGCTAAACTCACAGCTGCATCTTTCTACTGAGCCCTGCTGTTGGTTTATCTGGTATCCTGGCCCTGTTCACCAGCTCAGTCCAGGGTGGATGGCCCCGTTGATGAGCCAGACTCTGGTTGGGACCCTTTGAGACTTAGCAGCATTTCCTTAATTCACGTGTTTATTTAACAAACTTGTGTCAGGCATCTACCCTGTGCCCCAGACCCTGTCCTCACTCAGGATGCAGCAGTGAACAGTTCTTACAGTTTCTTCCACGCGGCCCCTTCTCTGGTCAGCTGTCACTTCCAAGATGCCCTTCCTGACCACCTCACCTGAAGTCGTCTCTGTCCCTACTTATGTCACTCCGTTCTATTTCTCCTGTTTCCGATATGGTGACTAAATACACGCTCACTTTAGGACAATCTGGTAAATGCAGAGTCATTTAAAGGAAAAAAAGCTTTAGTCTTACCACCTACAAAAAAATCACTTAACATTTTAATGCAGCTTCTTCCAATTGGTTGCCTCTCCAAAGATATGTCATTGTCACATACCGTTTTACTCTCCTTTTTGCTTAACATTAATTGTAAGACTTGCTTATTTTCACATTTTAGCATCTCTGGATCTTACACTGCACAAGATGGTGTTTTACAGGCACTGGCAGCCTGTGTTGAAATTCAGCTTTTCGAAAGGGAGTTTGTGTTTACTTCTGACAGTCACCTACTACTGCCAACTAGAGAGGACTTTACATTAAATTCAGTTACAGCACTTGTTGAGGTGTTTTCAGACCATGTCTGTAGTGCAAATTCAGGCTCCAACCTGTGTGAATACAGATTTGTTCACGTTCTCCAGGCAATTTTGTTCCCTCTCTGTACCAAGGGCCAAGGTTGAGACACGATTGTTGTGATTGTTGCCTGAGGAGTGTTTGTCATTCCTGTTACACAGAGGGAATAACCCTTTGGGGTCCAGCTTTCTCAGTTGCCTCATATTAGATAATCCATTCTGGGTATTTTTTCTTTCCTCATGGTATATCTTACAGGTGTCTTAAGTGTGATGCAATACCATAACTATTATAGAAACATTTTCAGAGTACCATAAACACATGTGAGCATCTTTTTAATGGCCACACAATATTACATCACAGGGTTGTCCAATGCTTTACTCACTCATTCCCTTGCTGTGTATTGGGGTTGTTTCTGGTCTTTCCTGAGATGAGGAACATGGGCTTTCTTACTACACACAGCTTCTTTCTCATTCAGATGATTTCTTTAGGGTAGGTAATTCCCAGAAATTGAGCTGCTGGGTTGAAGGGATGAATCTTCTCAAGACCCTTGATGCATAAAAGCCTATTGTTTTTAGAGGTTGATTATTTTTCTTCTGTGTTCTTTGCAGAGACGGAGTTGGTGCCACCAAAGTTGGGGTGTGAATTTGCCTCTACTGACAGCACCTGGTTGAGTGGTTTTGGTCTAGAAAACTCCACAAAGGTAAAGAGTTCACGTTAACGAGGTAAAAAGGCTAAATCAGAAGTAGACTTCAAGTATAGGGCTGCATAAGATTAAAAGTCAGCTAAAAACTAGGACTGGTTTTGACATGTGTGAGTGCATGTGTGGGGTCAGTGGTTTATTTGTGGTCGATCAGAATAACCTGCAAAGGTTATGAACCCATCAACTGAGCACTGGGATCATTTAATTTTAGGCATTCAAATATAGTTAAATATTTTTCATTCAAACTAATTTTTTTGTGGGTATGGGTGGGAAGCTTCCTGAATTATGAAATATTGTTTAATGGTAGGCAGCAGCATCAATTGTTTGTGTTTATATTGGCATTACTAAAATATTTTGAGCAGTTTGCATGGGTAATTTAAGCTTTTGTCCCAATTCTTGTTTGCACTATTAATTAACTCAGCAAAAGATGTTTTTTATTGCACAAAGGAAACCCTCAGTCCGGCTCTCCCCTGGATTTGCCATAAATTCTGAGATAGTGTAATGTGGATGGATGATGAGTTTCCTGGGGCAGAAGCAGACATTTGTAAAATTTTCATCCTAATTTCATTCTGGGTTGCCTTTCATTCTTTTATGGACAGATGCAAAGTGGCAAATAATAACAAACAAGAGCAAATAAACATAAATTTAACATCTCTGTGTGTCATTAGAGCCAGGCCCTGGAGTTTCCCCATGAACAGCATGGGGCTCTTGCCTGTAAGGGGCTGTCAGTTGGTCTGGCAATGCAGGAGACAGCTCAACATGGGGACAGAGGGGTCACAGGATAGTGACACTCCCTGTGTCATGTCTTCCATGGCTTCTCATTGCTCAGGACAAAATTCACATGCCTTACCTTGCCCTTCAAGGCCCTGGTTGACTGGCCTCAGCCCATCTTTTGGGCCTCATGTCTTGTGGCCAAACCAGCTTGTTTCTGTTCCTCAAAACCCCAGACCCCTTGCTTGCCTCAGGGGTAGGCATCGATTTGTGAGTTTGGGCAGATGCCTTTACGGAGAGATACAACTTGGAGAGCCCCAGGTGCCCATGCACATGCTTGGAGCCATTCATTCGTTACTCACCTGTTGTAGCCAGACTGTGTACTAGGACCCGGCACTTGCTAGGCCCTGTGGCCTCTGTCCCCAAGGACGGGTGACTCTGCTATACAGCCAAAAGGCACAAACACAAAACACTGAACAATCCTGGAAGAGCCAGAGAACAAACCAGAGGTCACTGGGCTGAAACCAATTAAGAGTCAACTAAAAACTAGAAAAAAGAAGCATTGGAAATAAGCTGTAGGGTGAAGATTGGACCGGCTGGGTGATCGGGGAGAAGGCTGCGCTATTGGCTGTAACAGACTCTAGAATAGATCAATGATGAAAGGGACCCTGGTGTGTTTAAGCATGAGCCATAGAAGGGACCACCTGGATTCAAATCCCAGCACTGTCATTTAACCAGCTTTGTGGCCTTGACCATGACTCAGCCTCTCTGAGGCTAGGTTTTTTTCATCTGTAAATGGGGATAATAATATCTGCTTCACAGGATAGAGGTGAGATAATAGAGATATAGGGCCTGGCACATTTTGTAGATGATCAACATACAAGTGCGTACATTCTTCCTTATCCTCTCTTCCGTCTCTCTTGTTCCCTTCTCATCCCCTCCCCTCTCCTGCTCTCCCCTTCTCTCTCTCTCTTATAGTGTTCTGCCGCTGGAGAGAAGAATGCCTGGCAGGGAGGGAAGGGGGGCTTATAACTAAAGGAGTCTGATGGGTTATAACTAAAGGAGAACTTAAAACATAACTAAAATAAATAACCCAGGTGACTGACACTTGTCCACCATGGGCCCAGTTCTGCTTTAGAAATTAAAAGGGCTGTGTGGATCAGGGGTCTCCAAATGGAGCACTGCTGGCTAAACACCGGCAGACCCCTGGGCCTTAGCCCAGACTCACCAAAACAGAGTGCTTGGGACTGGGGTCCAGATCCAAAAGACTTTAAAACTCCCAGGTGTGCAGCCAGATTTCAGAACCTGCAGCCCGATGGCCCCTGACCAGACTTTCGCCCTGACAGTTTGTGTTTCTCTCCCCATTAAATGCCCCGTGCTGCTGTGGGAGGCCTTGTATGAGTGTGCCTGGTCCAGAGCTCACCTTCCACTTTCATCAGAGCTAGGAAGTTCCTTTGGTGCTGACTCATGCTACGCAACCGCAGCTGGGACTAGGTCTAGAACTGAATCTTGAACCTGTCCAGTGCCCTTCTCTGGAGGTCGTCTGCGAGGAGATGAGACAGCTGACCTCTGAGACCTGGGATGCTATCTCAACACACACCAGATGATTCTAAACTGAAAACCAGTCTTTGAAGCTGTAGTTGCATTATAGGATTAAAACCTAGACCAAGAAATCCCTTCCTTCTCTTGTAATAGCTTCCTGTCCAAGAAAGAAAATGAAATTCTGCGGGGCTCCTGCTGGGCTTAGATTTTTCTCTCGTAAGAACATAAAAATTATTTACCATTGCTGAGGCTCGTTCCTAATTGCCCAAAACAGCGATAAATTCCTGACCTTATCTAGGGAGCTTTTAATTTGGTGAAATACTGTTCAGAAAATGAATTTCTATTGTAAATGCACCATCACCAGATTTCCCCATGAAGATGGGTAATTTCTGAACTCCAAGTGTTTTATAGAGCAGGGCGGTTGAAGAAAGAGATTTTACTTTATAGTTTCTAAATGGGTGATTTAAAAACTCTGTAAAAATGGTTTATGACCATTAGTACACAACAACAGATGTATTAGTAAAGGGGAACGTCATAAATTATATAGTGAGGGTAGGGAGGTTTTGGGGTGTGTGGGGAGCAGAGGTGCAAAGAACACCTAGGAATTGCTTTTAATAAACAGAAAAACCAGGGACACATTTAGAAGTAAATAGAGGGCCCAGTTTTCCCCTTTTGGGCTGAAGGGGGCTTCGGAAGGGGGAGGCAAGAAAACAGTTTTTGGTATTCAGTAGAATAATGATGACAATGGCAATGATACAGTTCGAAGAGCTACCGTTTATTTCGCATGGTGTTTGGGGCAGGAGGTTTGCCCTCATTACAGGGGAGAGATGGAGGCTCACAGAGGCGCCTGCCTGAAGGCACAGAGCCCAGATCTGAGCCCAGGTGTCCCTGCCCTGCACCACCCTCATCTCCACAATAGTGTGGGGAATGAGATGGAACTATATCTACGCTAATGCTCAACTTGGATATACATCTAGGAAAAACCCTGGAGGGTTCCTGTCTAACAGCAGGTTCGAAGTTGTTTTGAAAGAATTATTTCCTAACTAACCAATTTCCAACCATTTCAAAGATGTGTGTATTGACCTTGGGTGAATAGAGAGGTGAGTGGATGAAAGGCCCCTTTCTGATGCACTAATTTAGGTGGTTCTGGGAATAGGATTTTGGAAAGATGGCAGGAGGGGATTTTGTCCCGCCTGAGCATGAGGTTGCTGTATGGCCTTGCTCACCCAGCACAGCCACCAGGAGTGGCAAGTTGGGTGAGGCCAGTGGCCAGGTGACAGGGCAGTGAGGGGGTGACACACTCCTGAGCAGCTGGTTTCCTCCTTTCCTTGAGACCTGGGGCAGTGTTGGAATTCACGTTTCTCTCATAGATAGAACAAAGCCAACCCGCAGATCCTGAGTGCTTCCATGAGCAGGGTTCTGCAGTAGCTGCTGTGCTGTCCTAATCTTTTGGTGTAGAAACTTGGATGAAATCACCAGTACATTTCTTTCCTTGGTCCACCCACCTGAACATGGGGATCAAACGAGATATGGTGGAGAGAACAAGAGCATTAGGCTCAGGTTGGGTCTGGCATCAGGCGGTTTCCTTCTCCCTAAAAACAGATACCTCTGCAGAGCTGGCAAGGGCATCGTTTTAGGTGCTTCTTCCAGGTCCCTGGTACACTAGTGCATGCCCCCAGCTTTCTTGTCCTGCCCTCTGTTTGCTGGCAAGGCTGCCTTCTGGCCTAGTGCTCTTGGGGGCGGCTTCTCACTTGTGTTTGCCATGCAGAGTGGTGAGTTAAAGCCTGGGTTTTCTGCGTGGCAGCCCTGCTCTGGATCCCACCTCTGCTGCTTACTTGCTGCGAGCTCTTAGGCAAACAGCTCAGTCCTTGCACCTCCGTTTTCTTTTACTGTGTAAAGTGGGTGATGCTAGAACCCACCCTGAGGGTTGCTGTGGGCCTGGTGGAGTGCAGGCTGGGGAAGTGAGGATCAGTGCTGGCATATGGGAAGCCTTCCATGCCTGGAGCCGCTCTCCAGATTAGAAAGCCTTACCGTCTTTAATCTTTATCCACTGATTCCCATGGACAGAGTTTGGGGAATGCTGACTGCCAGCTGCAATGCTCCCTCACCAACTTGATCCCTTTCTTTCTCAGATTAGAAAGGGGTCTTCCTGAGGCTGCCCTCTAATCCTTCAAGATCAGTGTTTTGTATTCAGCTGTGGAGAAGGGAGTATATTTTATTGCCTCTTTGGTGGGAAAAGTTACTTATTGTTTGGGTCTATGCTAAAAACTGACCCCATTGTGTGACAGGGGCACTTCCTGCAGAGTTCCACAGGAGGTGGGGGTGGGGCTAACACCTGGGATTGTCTATTGCTTCTCAGAGCCAGGGACCCTGTTTCTAAATGGCACATGAGAGAGTGGAGGCAGTGGTCAGGGTGGAGACCCAGGGTGCCCGCCCCCTAAAATTGGATTCTAGGTTTTATTTTTTCCCAACCCCTCATTTAGACACTTGGATTCCTCTCTTAAGATAAATAATATTTGGCATATACTGTGAGCAAGACACTGTAACAGGCTGTGAAGTAGGTATTATCATTGTCCACATGTTTGCACATGAGGACCCTGAGGCTCAGAGCTCAACCTCAGACATAAAGAGCAGCAGAGCCGGTGCACAGGCAGCCTGACTCCAGAGTCCAGCTTCAAACGTCAACACACATGTCCCACCACCAACCAAGGAGAAAGGAGCATTTATTGGGCACATACTTTGCTCCA